TGGAGGGCCAAGGCAGCAGGGGGAGGTGGGCAGGCCCTACCTGTTGAGAGCATTGCACATCTCAATGGTGACCAGCACAGACAAGGCCATGGTCATGGGCTCAGGAGCCTCAAAGATCTCACACTCCACACCCTCAAAGTCGGGGTTGTCCTCGGTGCACTGCATGAAGTGAGTCTGCAGGGGGGCGGAGAAGGAACTGGAGTCCCACCAAAGCCTCCAGGCCACCCTCCTGCTTCCCATCCCACCTGTCCCACCTCTGCCGTCCTCCCCTACCAGCTGGTTGTAGCTGACGTGAGGCCCATCCTCCGCATACAGGAACCACCAGGCAGCCGCTCCCACAGTGGCTGCACCCACGTAGCCTATGGTAGAGAGATGGGGACTGGCGGTCAGGGCTGGGGAGATGGGAGGCAGCAGGAGAACCTTATGACCATGAACAGCTGGTTGAGGAAAAGAAGCCTCCAGGGAGCTGCACTGGAGGGGCTGGTGTCCCAGAGAGGGGGTCGGTTTGGAAGGTTGGAAAGGATTGTGGGGTCTCACCCTACTCACCCCCAATTGCCATGTAGCGGAAGAAAAGCCAGCCACTGATGAGGGGCTCCTTGGGGCTCCGGGGGGGCCGGTCCATGATGTCCAGGTCTGGGGGATTGAAGCCCAGGGCTGTGGCTGGGAGCCCATCAGTCACCAAGTTCACCCACAGCAGCTGCACAGGGATCAGGGCCTCAGGCAGCCCCAAGGCGGCTGTCAGGAAGATGCTGCCAGAAGGAGGCGGTCACATGTCTGTTCTGCTCCCAGATCTGTGCTCACCCCCACCCAGGCTTGGTCCCTCCTGGGCGCCCTCCCTGGCTGCTCACCAGACCACCTCGCCCACGTTGGAGGAGATGAGGTAGCGGATGAACTGCTTCATGTTGTTGTAGATGGCCCGGCCCTCCTCCACAGCAGCCACGATGGTGGAGAAGTTGTCGTCAGCCAGCACCATCTCGGAGGCGGTCTTGGCCACAGCAGTGCCAGAGCCCATGGCAATGCCGATCTCAGCCTTCTTCAGAGCAGGGGCATCATTGACACCATCCCCTGTCTGAGGGGAGAGAGAAGGTGGAACCTGGCCCCTCCTACACACCCCTTCTGCATCAGACCAGGGCCCTCACTCAGCAACTCTCTCCCGGGCCCCTAGCTCCTGAAGACAATTGCCTCAGTGGACACCAAGCAGACTGCCCCATGCCAGACTCCTCAGGCCCCAGCCTGGGGAGGCCTGTTGATCTTCTTACCATAGCTGTGATCTCATCGTAAGACTGCAAATACTCCACAATCTTCGACTTATGGGCAGGCTCCACGCGGGCAAAGCAGCAGGCACGACGGCAGGCCTCCCGCTGCTCACCCAGGGGCAGGTCATCAAACTCCCGGCCAGTGTAGGCTCGGTCGGTCACCTCCTCGTTCTCCCCAAAGATGCCAATTCTCCGGCAGATGGCAATGGCTGTGCCCTTGTTGTCCCCAGTAATCATGATCACTCGGATCCCAGCATCACGGCACAGCTGGATAGAGCCTGTGACCTCCTTTCGGGGAGGGTCCAACATGCCTACCACGCCGACGAATGTCAGGTCCATCTGGGGAGACAGCAGAGAGTGACAGGCTCAGCAACAGTCTCAGAAACAGCCAGGGAGGAAGCTCTTGAGGAGCTGGGGAGAAAGGTCAGTGAGCTGGGGGGAGAGTTGACTCTGGACCTAGTGTTTAAACCTCAGCAGGGCCTCGTACGCTCAGGGGCAGGAAATGTTCCTTGTTTACACATGTACCTGCAGCTTGGCAGTGCCAAGCCCATTGTGAGTAGCAGACTGTCTTTCACAGAAAGAACTTGAGCAGGAAGTTAGGGCGGTGGTTTCTGCTTTCAGAAGGGCTACTCACTTGCTCCACAACTTAGAGTAAATCTGTGTGAACTGCCATGCCACAGTGTCCCCTCTAGAAAATGAAAGGAGTGGACTTTGGTGCTATTCAGAGAGCCAGTCTACTAGAAAAAAAGCAACTTGTGCCAGAATGAGGGTTGATGCACTGCTTCTTGCATCAGGAAAATCACTGTGGAAATGAGCCAGCTGCCCCGAGTGTGTTCAGTGATGACTGATCTGTTCTGGTGTGCTTGAGTGCCTTGCCTTGTCACAGGTGCACGGATCACACGCAAAGCAGCACTAAGTTTCCTTCAAACCTAACATCCTGTGATTCTAGGACCCATGACAAAGTAGGAAATGACAAGGGTGGTGGAGAGGGTGAGGCAGATGACTCTGGGACAATGGGAGGCTTCCATCTGCTCACCTCATACTCCATGAATTTGGCAGAGTCATCCAAGACCATATCTTCTCGCTTCGGGGGGGTGTCCCGGGTGGCCAGAGCCAGGCAGCGCAAGGTGTCCCGGCCAGTGCCCCACTCCTTGATCACGGTCATGATCTTCTCCTTCACCGGCCCTGTCATTGGCACGCGGGTGGTACCAACTCGCACATAGTTACAACGGTCAATGACCCCCTCGGGAGCACCCTAGGAGACCAGACCAGAATTCAGAGATGACTACCTTCTTTCCAGGGCACAGTGAGAGGGCAGGGATAGGAGAGGGGCTCAGGGTCAGAAAGCAAAGGCACTAGGGCACATTCTGATTTCTGACCTTGACAAACATCTTGTTGCCTACAGCAGCCCGGGATTTGGCTGGGGAGCAATAGACAGACATGGACTTTCTGTCTCGGGAGAACTCCAGGGTGAATTCCTTCTTCATTAGCTGGCGGATCACCTGTAGAGAGGAGACAGGAAGGGAGAGACCAGACGTGAAATCTGTGGGAAAAGAGCGATGACGCTATGCTAGAAGGTAAGAATCCCAGACCCCTTCAGACATAATCAGAAGGGTGTGGAGGTCGAGCGGACCCCAGGCTGAGTCAGCTACACGTGGCACCTACAGCACACCAATAGAGAGATTCCAAGACTAGCGCTGCCACTGTCACAGTGCCTGGTCTAAAGCAAAACAGAAACAAGATGTGTAGAGTGGCACTGTCCAACAGAGCAATCAGTGATGGTGGAATGTTCTGTTCAGGAACCGTCTGATATGGTACGACTGAACAATGGCTACTGAGTATGGGAAATGAGGCTGGTGCAACTGCAGAACTGAGATTTTACTTATGTTTAATTTTAATTAATTTACATTTAAACAACCACATGTGTGCTTCTAGAGACTTGTGGTTGGAACAGTGCAGACCTAGTGCCTGGCGGGAAATAATAAGTGCTCTATAAAAATGAATGAGGGCCTTTTCACCAAATGCATCATGGAAATTTCTCCATAAAATAAAATAAAACAGCCCAGCAGGCGTGGCTCAGAGGTTGAGCGTTAACCTATGATCCAGGAGACCATGGTTCGATTCCTGGTCAGGGCACATGCCCGGGTTGCAGGCTCAATCCCCAGCAGGGGGCGTGCAGGAGGCAGCCGATCAGTGACTCTCTCATCATTGATGTTTCTATCTCTCTCTCCCTTCCTCTCTCTGAAATTACTGGAAATATATTTAAAATAAAATAAAACAACAAAAATAAAGATAACAATAAATTAAACAAAAAATAAGTTGATCTTATATCATTTGTAAATTTTTTTTTTATGTTGAATTTACTCCCGGGCCATAAGCTTTTGTTTCTTCAGTTTCTTCTGGGATATCTTTTTCTTCTGTGCAACCTCCTCTTCTGGTTTAGGAACAATCTGCTCTTTTTCAGTAAGGATCATCTCAATGTGGCAGGGAGAACTCATGTATGGGTTAATCCGCCCATGAGCTCTGTAAGTTCTACGTCGCATCTTGGGAGCTTTGTTCACCTGGATATGCTCAATGACCAGAGAATCTACATCTAAACCCTTAAGTTCAGCATNCTTAATCCGCCCATGAGTTCTGTAAGTTCTACGTCGCATCTTGGGAGCTTTGTTCACCTGGATATGCTCAATGACCAGAGAATCTACATCTAAACCCTTAAGTTCAGCATTGCTCTCTGCGTTTTTAAGCGTGTGCAGCAAAAATTCAGCACTCTTTTTGGGCCACCGACCCTGTGCCCAGCCCCACTGTTTCGCCTGGGCACACCTACCAACTCCACCATTGTAACGACGGAATGGCACACATTGCTTCTGTAAAGTGACATCCTTCAGATACTTGGTAGCTTTTCGAATATGCATACCCTTGATGGCCTGGGCAGTTTCACGAGTGTTCTTAAAGTGAACATGAAGATTTGAACCTCTTGACTTGCATGATTTTGTGGGGTTTTCTGGGTCAAGTGAATAGCGAACCATTTTCAGAGGTCACCTCTGGCCGCTTTCAGGAAGAGGAAGAGCGGAGGCTCTCATTTGTAAATTTTAAAAAATTATGTAAATGATTAAAATATATGAGCATCTTGCATATATATATAAGATTGGCTGATGTGGGAAACATAACACCCCAGAGGAATTCAATGTAGACACTGAGTAAATATTAATAGCAAAGACTCCGAGTAAGAGAAATAAGGGGAAGTGAAAGAGTATGCAGTAGTCACATTTCCCAAATCCTAAATCAGGTCTCAAGATATGCTAAAAACAAGTGTGCTTCTAGAGACAGAAGGATAAGAGCTGCCCCAGAGTGGGGTCACTTGTGGTTTCTGTGTCCAGCTCCATTACTTTTCAACTAGGAGGAATGGGAGGAAGTGATCTTAACTCATCAAGGGATGTTGCAGCTGGGCAGTGGCAAGAGCAATACTGGTTCAGGGGCAGCAGGTCCTATTCAAAGTCAGCCTGACCAAGAAAAGCTGTGGAGAGACCATCTGTCTGTACTGGCTGGGGTCCCAGCATGGGGCACAAGGGCCCTACCCAGCCTGACGAGGGACCTCTGCTTCCTGAGGTTCCTTGGGTCCTGCCTGGCGTATGGGGCAATGGGGGTGAAGAAGGGCCCTGTGGGAGGGAGCAGCCAGACTCACCGAGTTGCAGGCATTGGCCCTCTCCACCTTTGAGAGGCTGCGCACGTCAGTGTTGAATACGTTCATCTTCTCTACCAGGGTGGTGAGCGCTGTCTCGGTGGCCTCGCCTACCTTCTCGTAAACACCCTTGGCCTGAGAGGGCAGAGGAGAAAGAGGAAGTAGGTGCCCTGGGCTCCTGGTCCCTGCTCCCACCAATCATACCCACCTTCCACCTAGAATGAGAAGGGAGCAAGCCCACTCCCTTCCCCTTACACCCAGGAAAGGACTTGGTACAAGGGACCTGCTTCCCATAACCCCTTCCTTGTGACCTGCTGAGGACGCCTGGCCTTTGCGCCAGCTGGAAGGGGAGGAGGGGCTGCTTCAGGAGTGGAGAGGTTACCTCGTTGAAGTCCAAGGAGGAGTCATTGCAGAGGGCACAGATGGTGGCCAGCTCCACCAGCCCATCATACTGCCCTGCCCGGACTGGCTTATCATTCTTCAAGCTGGCAGAGGGTGGGGAGCAGGGAAGGAGAAGAGACAAGCAGAGAAGAATAGGGAATGAGACGGAGAGAGGGCAAGGGGAGAGCAGTGCGACACGGTCGGGGAGGTGGCAACCACCTTGGAGATCAGGTGCCACAGAGAACAGGTCAGGGAAGGAAGGAGAGAGAGGAAGGAAGACAAAACTAGAGGGAGGGCCCCAGGGAGAAAGGTGGGGTGTGTGGAGGGGGCATGAGGAGCTGAGGAGACTTTGAGGGAACTTACACCTCTCCTTCTGGAGCGTAAGTGGAACCAGTGATAGAGAACTCGTTCAGCACGCAGGAGTCCCCGTCCACCCTGTCGATGACAAACATCTGCGGGGAGAAGGAGAAGGGCATGTGCCCAGATGCCTAGCTCTCCCCTCCCCTGAAGGCAGTCTGCACTGAGGGCAGGCCCTGCCTCAGAACGCCCCTCAGCCCGGCCACCTCACCTGTGCAAACGAAGTGAGCTTCCTACCACCCTCCGGCTGGCCTCTCTTTTTCTCCCCAAACCCTCCCCTCTCCCACCACTCCGTTGCAATGTTCTCCATGTTTGGTTAGCGGCCTTAAAACAGAGGTTAAGACCTCCACAGTAAGGTGTGGTGGGAACTGCAGCTACCAGTCCACCTGTGAGCACATGACCCATATCTAGCTCCAGCCACCTGTGGCTAGATCTTCTAGTACTGCAGAAACAGCTAAAAATGCAGGTTATTTGCCTATGAAATCTCTTGACTTTCAATGTGGGCAATGAATTCTTTTTTAAAAAAATATACCTTTATCGATTTCAGAGAGAGGAAGGGAGAAAGAGAGTTGAAACATCAATGATGAGAGAGCCATCATTGATCGCCTGCCTCCTGCACGCCCTCTACTGGGGATCGAGCAACAACCTGGGCATGTGCCCTGACCAGGAATCGAACCACGATCTCCTGGATCATACATAGGTCAATCAATGCTCAACCGCTGAGCCATGCTGGCCGGGCAATGAATTCATTTTTATGAAACATGACAGGAGCTGGCTGCACATGCCCGTGGTCTGGCTTTGAAGGCTGTGTTTTGGAAGATTGTAGCATATGCAGTGCTCAGAGGGGGGCAGCCCACTGTGAGCCAGAGCAAGTGTGGAAGGGATGGATGGGGCTTAAGACATGTTCCAGGCCAGGCTGGCGTGGCTCAGTGGTTGAGCACTGACCTATGATCCAGGAGATCGCAGTTTGATTTCAGGTTGGGGCACAAGTCCGGGTTTCGGGTTCAATCCCCAGTGGGGGGTATGCAGGAGGTAGCCTATCAATGACTCTCTCATCATTGATGCGTCTATCTCTCTCTCTCCCTTTCCCTTCCTCTCTCTGAAATCAATAAAGATATATTTTTTAAAAACCCCAATAGATATGTTTTGAGTAATACATCAGCAGGAAAAAACAAACAAACCTATTTTCAATATATTCTTTAATGGATTTAATTGCTGAACTCACATAAATTGTTTAAAAAAGTGAGAGAATATTTGATTCAGACAGTTTTTTTTTTCTNAGTCAGTTTGGGAAACTCTGGTTTAAACAAAGTGAAATCCACCCTCTTTACAGTCATCCTTCTCAGAGGCTTTCAAATGCCGAGAGGCATGTGGGTCTCCCTGAGGAGCCAAGGATTCAGGTTTTCTCACCCTGGTCTGACCACAGAGGCCTCGAACCCCAGAACAACAATTTATATGTCACAGACATGCCATTTCAAGAACCCTGTTTAGGGCAGGAGTTCTTGGCCTGGGGTCCATGGATGACCTCACCCCAAGGAGTCTGTGGACTTTGATGGCAAAAAAAAAAAAAAAGAGACATCTTTTATTTTCTCTATGACATTTAGTATTTCCTTCCAATTGTGAATGCAAGCTATGAACCACAGCTTCAACATTACGGTAGTTCCTAGACCCACTGCTAGACTTGCTACTTAAATGCATTAATAAAGAAGCTAAAGTGTTACTAAATCGCAAATTTGTTTCTAAAATATTTTTGTTTAAGTCATTGGTTTCCTCTGTGATCTATATTTTTAAAACAGAATCCTATATGTTTACTTTATACATTTAAAATATACTGAGAAGAGGTCCAGACTGCCGAAGAACATAAGGCACGGGAAAGATTAAGAGCCCTGGTTTAGGAAGTGCTGTTCGAGATTAGTGTGGCCAGCTCACCGGGGCCCTGCTGTGGATGACCATTCTGGAAGGCAGTCTAGTGCACAGGCACGAGTTCTGGGCCAGACAGACTTGGGTTTGAAACTCACTTCTGCTACTTACTAACTGGGCACTGAGTTTCCCAGAGCCTCAGTTTCCTCCTCTGGAAAATAGGGTAAATGAGACCTTTCCCTGTCGGGGCTGTTGTGGAGGATGAGAGATAATAGGGGGCAGTGTCTGGCACAGGGATGGTGGCTGTAGGGAGCTATCTGGCTGGGGTCTCTCTGATTCCTTCCCTAGCTTGCAGGATGGCACTCTATCTGCCCTCTGAGCATTTCTTTCCCAGGTCAAAAAGAAGCCATCAGTGATGAAGGGGCAACCCTATCTTTGGAGGCCTCATTTCACCCAAGGGCAGTCTTCTGAGCGGGAGTTGCCCGCTCTTCTCTGACCTTGCAGACAGACATCTGGTTGGTGGTGAGGGTGCCTGTTTTGTCGGAACAGATGACCGAGGTGCAGCCCAGAGTCTCGACAGAGGGCAAGCTCCTCACAATTGCATTTTTCTTTGCCATCCGGCGGGTGCCCAAGGCCAAGCAGGTGGTGATGACTGCAGGAAGACCTGTGGGGGGAAGAAGATGGGGTGAGGGAACAATACCAGAGATGGGAAGGAATGACCCCCCCAAAGATATCAGTCCCCTATCCCTGGAACCTGTAAATGTTACCTTATTTGGAAAAAGGGTCTCTGCAGATGAGATTAGCAAACGGGGGGGAGAAAGAGAGACGGCCATACCTTCTGGGATTGCAGCCACAGCCAGGGCCACAGCAATCTTAAAGTAGTAGATGGCACCACGGAACCAGGAGCCCCCATGGACGGGATCGTTGAAGTGGCCGATGTTGATAAGCCACACAGCCACGCAGATGAGAGAGATGACCTTGGAGAGCTGCTCCCCAAACTCATCCAGCTTCTGCTGCAGAGGGGTCTTGTCCTGTTCTGTGGCGGCCATTTGGTCGCGGATCTTCCCAATCTCGGTGCTCACACCAGTAGTGGCTACGATGCCTACGGCCTTGCCAGCTGCAATGTTGGTGCCCTGGGAAGGTGCAGAAGAGGCAAGGAATCAGACAAGCGGAGTCACCGACTGCAGGACTCCTCTGTTCTCGTGCTGCCAGGTCTCTCCCAGACCAGCTGGCCCTGCACGGCTCACCGAGAAAAGCATGTTCTTCTTATCCTGGTTGACAGCTCGGGGGTCAGGAACGGGCTCTGTGTGCTTGATGACAGATACGGACTCGCCTGTGGAGAAGGGGACAAGGGGGCTTTTCAGATGACATCGTGTCTTTCTCCCATACTTCCCGCCCTTAACTCCCTCCCTGCTTGGCAGCACAGGGTCTGGGAAGAACCAAGCAGCAATCCTGGAGGAAGTCTGCGCTCTGGAAGAAGCCACGGGAGGCAAACAGGGAATTCATTGCACTTAGAGTGAAAAGACCTGGACCCACGCCTCGGCTTCACCACTTACAAGCTGCGTGTCTTAGGATCACTTAACCTGTTAGCTCCTCTGTGAAACAACAGGTACACTTCAGAACAAGGTCTTGGTGAAACCAAGGCAGCTGACTTATGTGACAGTGAAAGTCCATTGCAGAGCCCGTCCTGGGAGGGGAGGCGTGCTGCGTGGAACCTTACCTCCCTCCCCAGATGGCAGGGCTCAGACAAGCCTTGCCTCCTTGGACCATGGGGAATGCTCAGCTCCTCACC